AGCAACAACAACGGCCATGTGGGAGGCGTAAAAGTTGTTTGCTCCTCTGCGTGCGTAACAGAATGGCCCAAACAGATATGTACACACGCATATATATGTATGTATAGCAGCAGTAAAAGAGTGCCAGAGCAAGAGCTGCGACGACAGTTGGGGGAAGGTGTTTGCCATGCGGTTGTTTGTGTCACTCGCAGTTAGCTAACAATGTGTGCGTTTTTGTGTGTGTGTGTATGCTTGTGCGTGTGTAAACAGTAACAGGAGAGATAATAACAGCGCTGTCGACTGCGCCTAAACGCTGTAACAACTATTTTTGGCTTCATTCGCAATTTGTTTTTTATTTATTTTATTTGTCTTGTTGTTCTTATTATGCTCTGCCTAAATATGTAGATTTATGATTCGTTTTTTTTTTTGTCTTTCGTGAATGCAACGATCTAATGTCACGCGCTGCCAAAAAAGTCAATATATGAAATGGTATTCTCTTGCTTGCTTCTGTGCGAGAATTTATCGAGCAGCAGCTCAATTTTGACATGTGGCTATCATTCAATGGTCGATTTGCTAAAAACCATGGGATGGGGCGAGGGAACAGATTCGATTTTACACATTCCACAACTTTGCCCAAAAAACTATGCTACAATTTGTATGTGTGTGAGTGTGTACTTGTGTGACCCGCATGAGCTTCACTCGGTCTTTGTGTATGTGTATGTGTGTGTGTCTGTGTGTGTGAGTGTAGTTATAAATAGGCAAGATAGTTTTTGTGCTGTTTGGCTGCTCTTCTACTCTTTTGTGTGTTGCTATTGAGGTCAAACTGTCAGCAGGATAGTGAACTTTGTCAAAATTTAAACAAACTTAAAGAGGGCTCTTAAGTGTCTATTATACAAAAGCGTCTTTGAAGTTGATTTTATTTTTCATTAATTCTTGATATGAATGCTGTGCAATTTGATATAATTTAACATTGTTGAAGTTTACTTTGATTATATTTTAATAGCAATCAATCTATAATTTATTTTTAATTTAGAGGATGTATATCAAATTACAATACAACAATTTAGCTGTGTATAAATTACATTTGCAGCAAGTCATCTTTGAAATTGGCATTTTTATGTCATTCGCTCTCGCATTTCCATCAATAGACTCTAAAAAGTATGCAATGCAATATGGACATAAAACTACATCTTTCCATTCGTAAAAGTTGCTTCCTCCTTTTCCATTTATTTGTGTTTGAGCAAAAAATTCAAAACAAATACTGTATATTTATCTCAGAAAACTTCTGTGGCACGTTGCAACTTTTAAGTTTGTAACCTCAATTCTTTTTTTTTTTTCATCATTTTACTTTTTTTTTCAGTGAGCAAGGAAAGTTTTTAAATTACTTTCGAGTTGGTAAACACTTTAAAGTTTAACGATTCTTTTCTTTACTTTTATAATTAACCGAATTTCGACCATTCCGTGTTTGTCGCATACATCGATCAAAATCGCATGAATCGGAATTAAAATCCATGTGAATTTTCCATTTAATTTACTCCGATGGCAATTGCCAAACGAAATTGGGTTAATAGAGTGTAAAGCATCAGCCTGCAACCTACATTCGAATGGGACTGAGGATGGGGCTTGCCATGTGGGCCACCCATTAAGGAAGAGAAAGAGCGAACAGCTTGCCTTGTGTGCGGGTCGTTTGGCTAATCCGCATTTGGCGAACTGATTAAAATTTAAAACAGTTCACAACAGCTGATGATGCTGTTGTGTCTCTCGACATTAACTGTTGCTACATAGTTTTCGTGTGTACTAAGTTTATGGATTCAACTTAACATTTAAGTCAATTAGGTAACAATCATACAAGGAAATGGGAAAGCTCTGTGGAATATAGAGCCACATGCTATCCACTATCAGCCATGAAGAAAATGATGAGAAAACAAGTGCAAAGCAAAGAAAACTCACACGCACACAAACACACAGAGTAAGAGCTACTTAACGCCCACTTCATAATCATAATTAAAAAATTTTGAAGCCCACCGACTTAAGGACAAACAGCTCTGTTAACTGACTAACAGTTTGATGGTCTGTTAATTTTACAGCATGGCGCATGCGCCAGTGTTGGCTAACTGCAATCTCTCGCTGGGATATTTGCTCACACGCACCACACTCCTACACGCTTTCTCGCGCTCTCTCTCTCTCTCTTTCTCTCTCGCTCTCTCTCTAGTGATAGCTGGGCAGCTCATCACTCAATGACCAAAATTCTCTGGCTCTCATCATCAACACACAGACAATGCTGCCATCTTGTTCGCACACTCAAATTGCTGTGCATACTTTTGCAGTTAAGCTAAAGCTATAAACGACATTGTTGCTGTTGTTGTTGCTTTTGCAGTTGTACACACTCACACACACACATACACACGTGTACATACACTGTTACAGCGGAGCTGGGGAAGAAACTGCCGTAGCGCTGTGCACAATAGCAACTAGTGGCCGTAATGAGACTTTGCTGCTGTTGCGCTTCTCATTTGACTGCGCTCCGTTGTGCTGCACACACGTAACGCAATTATAACGGCATCAGTTTACCCACTCTCTCACACACACACATACACACACGCGCGCATTCATGCAAAAGTGAAGTGAAAAAAGTGCTACACTTACTATAAATAGACGCAGTTTTATTTTATGCATAAATGCATAAATGATGTTTTAAGATGATTAACCGATCGTTGTAAGTACTCCAGCTTAGATATCCAGCATCCAGTTTTCCAGTGTAGATAATATCTACTAGATATCAACAGCACGTTCAGGTAGGCAATTGCTTTGAAATTTTGCAGAAAATATGCAATCAATGTAGCTGAGAGCTGTTGCTGGCAACACCGGAAGGACGTGAAGTAAATGTCAAAGCCCACCTGCTGGATGCTGTCATGTCTGCCCACAGATGGGCGGGACAGTAGCGGGATAAACCTTGTCATTGCCTTTTAAATGTCAAGGGGAAGCGGGAGGGGTATAAATACAGCAAACATCGCCATTGACAGCAGACTGCAGTTGTATGCATGTGATTTGCCTGCCTGACTGACAGCCTGGCCTATCTGTGTGTGTGTGTGTGTGTGGGTGTTCTCCTTGGAGTTTGTGTGACAGTATACTAGAATCATCGCAGCATTCTGTATCCATTTTACTATAGATATTCCCCTAGCACATCATCGGACGCAAAATGATGCAAATTGAATTTCCTTCGCGATTTATTATTGGATTTCAGTTCCAACATAATACGGAAAGCTACTAAAGCAGAATCGTAGCCTGTCTAAGCCACGGATTTTGCAACTATTGCAACTTCAACAGTTTATATTGTGTGTATATATATATATATATATATATATATATATATATATATATATATATATATATATAAATTTACAGCTTGTAACTTTTGCTCTTTTAGCAGTTGTAGCGTCTTGCTGCCGTCTAGACAAACTGGCGCGTGTTGAATACCCTCTATACAGGGATAACAAAATAGTGGATTATCCGTGGTAGAAAACTTTCAAGCTATTTAAACTCGAAATAGACAATCATGTTTTTCTGATTGAGGAGAAAAGCTTTCATATAAATTTTTGATGGCAAAGAAAAGTTTTATAAAGAAAACAAGAAATATTTATAAAAATAGTTTGTTGTCATTAACATGTATGGATATGTATTCAATTTAATATTAAACTTTGGCTTACGAGGTATTTTAGTATCGGTCAGTTAGTTTAGTGTTCCTCTCATGTTACAGTTGTTTTTATACCGACACGCGTCTAACAAGGCGTATGAGTAATACAATTGACTGTACGTGAGTGTGAATAAGTGTGCATGACTGTAAATGTATCTATGAATAGAAGACTGTTTGTGTGTATGTGCTTGTTTTTGCAATGGCATACAGTGAAATCAAAGCGCTAGATTGCAGCCCAGGTGTCGGACGATTGAGAGGGCGAGGTGTTTAGCATTACGCACTTTTTCACACAACTACATGACGTATGAGTAATATGGGAAATGCGAAGGAAATGCTCAATGAATGCAGTCTTGAATCAGAGGCACAACAGCAACTATTGGGAAATGTTGTTGCATGAGCGTGCCGTTCCTTGGGGGTCAGACACGAAATGCGGTCACAACAGCAATTAACCCAAAGTTCAAAGTTCACACGCTTGCTTTCTGTGTGTGTGCTCCATGTTTCACAATTACAATGCGGAGCAAAGCAGTTGCCCCATTTTGTAAGCTCGCGCACATAAATAAATCAAGCCCAAAATGAGCAATAACCCTTCATTGGCCGCCGCCACCCACGGAGATTTTTATGGTCGAGAGTGGTGCAAAGATTGAAAGTCGATTTTCGATTCTGTTTTGTTTTATCCATTCGCAGACGTCAGAAGGGCAGCCACAGCATGCCGTACGAGTCGATGCACCATCATCAGTCGGCGGCCGCTGCCGTGGCCGCCGGCGTAGCGCCAAATAGCATGCTGGACTCGCTTAGCATGCAGCTGCGCGATGCGGAAATGCGGCGCACCGAGATCGAGCGGGCGCATCAGGTGAGTTCGCACTGCGACTGATTTGCAGCCGCCCAACTACAATTTCGAGTGGTTCCGTTGACAGGAAACTCTGGCACAAATACGCAATTTAAGCGGATGCGCTCGACCCGACACCGAGGCGGTGGAAAATCTGCAGTCGCGTGCTCGTGAGCTGGAAAAGAAGGTAAGCGCCAGCGGCGCATCAAATATGGCCCACAGGACCTCAGTTATTCTTGTGCAATGCATTTCAGGTGGCGCTGGAGAATGTGCGCTGCGAGGAGCTGCAGATCGAGTTAACCGCTGCACTCAAAGCCAAGGCAGGGCGGCCCACTAACCAGAACATGGCCAATTGCCCCCCAACTTCAACCGCAGTAGCGCAGCATGGCCAATATCCATGCTCAAGTATACCAACTTCTGCGAGCAGTTCCACCGTCACATGGGCACCGACAATCAGCCACCAGGACCAAGGCTCCGAGATCGATATAATAATGGCCAAGATTGAGCAGGTAAATGACAGATGTTTATTATAGAACACAATGTGAGCTAACGTGAATGAATTAATGTGCTCCAATGTCCCCTCTCAATCGACATCGCTTTTGGTTGAGTTGTCCGTCGACTGGCATTCGTTGGTGGATGAGAAACAGGTCACGAAACTACTAAAGCTCTCGATGCTGCATGAGTCCGATTCCTCAATATCACCCAGTTCGATCTGTGTGCCGCAGTCCTCCTGCCCCGGCAGACCCTGCTTGAAGTAATCCTCGCTTTCACCCTTGGAGCTCTTGTATATCTGCAGCTTGCGTCGCATCTCGTCATTTTCCTTGGTCAGCTGTCGGATGATGCGCTGATTCTCGTTGCTGTTATGCTCCTCCACGCTAATGCTGCACAGCATGATCAGGGTCATCTCCTCGATCCGCTTCTCCAGATTATTGACCATCTCCTGCAGCTGGCCAACGTATCTGCGGCGCAGATTGAATCTCTCGCCGAGTACGTTCTGCTGGCAATGCTTTCTGAACTTCTCCATTATTATCTTGACGCCCTCCTTGTAGTCCTCCACGGTCTGCTTAAGCTCCGCATTCTCGAGCAGCTGCTGTATGCGTTCATCGTCATTGCAATATTTGACCAAGTTCTTCAGCAATTGATCTTCCTGAACGCCACATGAGTCGAAGAACTTCTTGTCCACACTTTCACAGTCAGCCAATAGACACGTTGTCTTTTGTATCAAATCATTGAAGTCGCTAGACACTTTCTGCGCCTTGATTATCAGCCCAGTCACCGCATCAGCAACGGGAATCATGTTAATAATCGAATTTTTCAATTAAGTCCAAGTTTTCAATTTATGGCAGCTTTCCGAGAACAGAGAACAGACAGTGAATAAATATTTTCTCTAGACCAGCACAGTAAATTGGTATTCCTCGCCCCGCTTGCTAGGGCTATACTCGAAAAAGGAACCAAAAATTAGTTCAATGGGAAATATTTAACAGACATAAAAAATATATAACAGAACAACAGATATGAATAGGAAATACCCTGCATCCAGCGACATGTTCTTTTTACTCAAAATGGTTTTTTAGTCTTTATATTCATCTTTTGATACCTCCAGCTTCAGTTATATCTTAATAGCCTCGTTAAAATATCGAATTTAATATAGACAATATAGACACAATATATCATATCCATATTTCCCAAGTTCCTCATATTCCTCATATTCGATTCCAGGACAATCGCGTTTTGGCCGAGCTGGAGCAACCGCGCACCTCGGCCAGCGCAAGCATGTCAGCCTTGCAAAGCATGCCGCCCAGCTCCATGATGAATACGGGAAACAGCGAATTTAGAACCATATCAAAGAGTGGTAAGTCCCAAATTTATCGAATTTGCATGCGATTTTGTATTTCATTTATTTGCTCATTTTGCTATTTGTTTTTTCTTTTTTTCGTAAAGAACTTGAAGAAGAACTGAATCGATACAAACGCGCCGTATTGGGCGGCGCATCGGGTGGCGGAGTTTCCGCCCTATCGTCCGGCTACTCGAGCCTGCCGCAATCGCTGGCCTCCACGCTGGGCAACGGAGCTAGCACCAGCCTGAGCGGCACGAGCGTTGGCTCGCAGAGCGCTGCTGCCGCCGCCGCGGCGGGTGTTGGTGGTGGCGGTGGTGGTGTTGGCGGCGCTGGTGGTCTATCATCCATATCGGCCCTGATGCCCAACTCAATCAGCGGCATATCCTCGAGTCTGAGCAGTCATGCCCTGCAATCAATGAACGCGTCTGCCTACGGCGGCGGCCAGACCTCCGTTGAGAAGCTGCTGAGCGGAACTAGTGGAATAACTGGCATTCCACCATTGCCGGTAAATATTCACACGATGAAGGCTATGCCAACGGCATTAAGTCAGGTAAACCAACTATTTTCAATTGCAATGAACTACAAGCAACAAATGAAAAATATACTATATAAAAAAAAAAAAAAAAAAAAAAAACCCAACAAAACCAAACTTTATAAAATGCAATTAAATTAGCTTTTTTTGATACCAAAACAAAATCCGCTTTGAAGCCTTTGTTTGGCACTTGGCGACATTGCTTTGGCTCTCCTTTTGGTGATCATCTGCTTAAAGTAGCCTTCGTATTTAATCGTTCATTTAATTGTTGATCATACGCGCCGCGCCAACTGGCTCTGCGACTGATAATCACATTTTGTGCTTTGTTGTAGTTTCATTATTGAAAATAATTACATACATGCTCACAATGTTCACATACATACATGCCCACATACATACATACGTACATACACACAGACTAACATAATTTCGAATACTTGCGTAGCTAACACAGTAATTGCTACTCAGATGCAACTCTTGGTATTTCAATGTATTCCCAAAAGGAATTTATACATATTTTTGTTTTCTTATTTATTAATTTATGAAAATAAAGTATATAAATATATTTAGTATTTGGTTTGGAATCTTCAAGAATTTAGAAATGTATTGCCTCATATTGAGCATATTAATTGCATGCATAAGAAGTCTTATCAGATTATCTCATCTTTTGGTCTATGTATTTTTTTAAGGAGTGTGGAACCATACTCTTGTTTTTTTTTTTTTTTTTTTTTTTTTTTTGAAAAAGTAACATTTATAATTCCCTTGCGGTAGACGAAAACAGTCAGCCTTTCATATGGACATTAATATAGTATGAGATTTTACGATACTGAATAATAATCTACTGCAATCTCAGAGTCTTGAGTTTCTATAAGTACAGGTCTATAGGCCATACACTAAATATTTTGGTAATAACAAAATACATTGTTTTAATTTTAAAATTCGTTCAGAAAGAATAGTTAGTTAGTACCCTGAGGTACCTTAATGATCTTCATAAAAGCATCTCAACTGTAGCCGAAAACGTTTATAAAGTTTGTGATATATATATATATATAAAAGAAAATCTCTTCAACAAAGGAAAGCTTTGCCTAGTTTCATAGAAGCTGAGAGTTGAGACTTCAAAGATATTCAAAACATTAATAATTTATATACAACACATTAAATTAAGGAATTCTTCACTTTTCCGCAAGGGTATATAAATATATTTGATTTTTTATCCTTATTCGAATCGTATTAGCATGATGCCATTTCACTAAAATTTCAACCATGTCGCATTCGCATTTTTCTCCATGCACAGCACATTATGTATACCGACTAAATGCCATATAGCAAACACATGCATATACATACCAAGAGTTACAAGACATATATATAATCTACTATATCCATATATCTGTAGCCAATCAACATAGAGCATTTCGACGCTTTCCGTTTCGATGTTTAAGTACTAATCTAATCCATTGTTTAGGCAACATTGTTCATATCAATTGCTTGGAAACGGCTTCAGTTCACATAGTAACTAGCTCAATATTCATAACATATGTATATCTGCTCTCGTCTGCGTCGCTAATCACAACATGTTCGATCAATTCCGATTTTCAAATACTTTCTCATTGCTAATATATAATGCTGTTACTAGTTGGCTTCCTGTTAAATATTGACCAATAAACGTCTACTCTGTGATCTCTTTTCCCGTTTTATGCGTTCTCTCTCTTGTCTCCCCTCTCTCTCTCTCTTTCTTTCTCTCTCTTTTTTCTCTATATGTTCTCTTTTTCTCTTCATGTAAAATAACTCGTGTTTCGATTCGTTCTCTTCCCAATGTGCTGAAACTTGCGATTCGAAATGAAATCATCTGCAATCCATGTCTTTCAATGTCTCTCTGTGTGTGTGTCTGTCTGTGTGCCTATGCAATAATTGTCTGTATGCGTGCCCTTGTAATCCTCGCCTGTACTAATACACTAACCGAAAACAACAACAACAACCACAACAACAACAATGTAAATTAAAACCCCCCCCTCCCCAAAAAAACAAAAAAAAAAAAAAAACAAAACAAAATCAAAATTCGCACACAAAATTGAACTTGAATTGAAATTGAAACTGAAATTGAATATGAAATTGAAACGAGAAGCGCGGAACAATACAACTGTACAATTTACAGAGCACAACCATGCCCCTCCTGTCACTCAACTCGCATAATCTGCCGCCTGGCGGCTCAACCAGCTACTCGGCCCTGGGCCTGAGCGGCGGCAGTGGCGTAGTCGGCTCCTCGCTGACCCATCCCACCATGAGCAACATCAACATGCTCGACACGAGCGCCCTGCTGGGCCTCGGACCGACTGGCGGTGGCATCACGGGCGCCACATCCCTCTACGGTCTGAGCGGTGGTGCCACCGGCGCCCTGGGCAGCGCGTACGGTCCGCCGTTTATGGATGCTGCATCGAGCGCCTCGTATCCATTCACGTCGGCCGCACTGCGCCAGGCCACCAAGATGAAAATGCTGGACGAGATTGATATTCCGTTGACGCGCTACGGCAATCGCAGCTCTCCGTGCTCACCCATTCCCGTAGGCCACAGCAGCTGGGGCCTGGACGAGTTCACCGATGGCCTGGGCGCCTCCCTCATGCACAATCGCAGCGGCCTGGCGCTGGGGGCCCTTGACCTGGATAGTAAGCATAGCAATCGATGCTCCATGGGCTTCCCGCATTCTAATGTTCCTTTTGCTCTATCTTTCAGCTCGCAATCATGGGCTGAACGGCGCCAGCGAGCCGCAGGTTGACATGTTGGACATACCGGGCAAGGGACGCTGTTGCGTCTTCATTGCGCGCTTTCCCTACGATCCGCCAGAGTGAGTGACCTTGAACTTGGGTTACATTCTCATAAATTAACCTTCCATTTCTCTCTCTTTCTCCCTCTCTCACCCTCTCACCCTCTCAGGGAAGCTGAGGGCGAGCTGTCCCTGTGCGCCGGCGACTATCTGCTGGTGTGGACCAGCGGCGAGCCGCAGGGTGGCTATCTAGATGCTGAGCTCTTGGATGGACGACGCGGCTTAGTGCCCGCTTCGTTTGTGCAGCGACTTGTGGGTGAGTAACTGAACTGGAGCAATCAATCGACCCAATCGAATCCCACTTACTGTCGTCGGTTCATTTCGTTTAGGCGACGATTTGCTGGAGTTCCATCAGGCGGTGTTGTCCACATTGCGCGACGCCGAGGATGGCTCCATGCAGTGCGACACAACGTCGCTGCCTTCCTTGCCGCCGCACAACCCATTGCTCACACACACGCACGAGGAACTGGCACGTTTGAGTGAGACGCACACCGATCTGGAGCACGACCAGGACGACATTAGCGATAATGGTAACTATATACGCTCCCATTGCTGCCCACGCCCCATTCTTTAATCTCTTTGGTTTGGTTTGGTTTTTGTGGCCACTCGAATGCGTACTCTGCGTTGGCAAATGTGAGCATAACGACCTTTGAATACCCTAACTGTAGAGACGCACTGGACTAGGCTAGCAGCAATAGATCAATAGGTTTCAATGCATACACTCAAATACTAATCCATATATTACTCTTCTCGTCCGGTCTGCTCTCTCTCCATCTCTATCTCTCTCTTTCGCCCACATCAGTTCCAGCTCCGAAGCACTTGACCCTGGAACGGCAGCTTAACAAGAGCGTGCTCATTGGCTGGTCGCCACCGGAGCCGGTGGGCTACAATCTGATTGACAGTTATCACGTCTATGTAGATGGTGTGCTCAAGGTCACGGTGAAGGCCAACGAACGCACACGCGCTCTGATTGAGGGCGTCGACTCCACGCGGGTAAGTCTCGAGTGATGCAATGCATCATCAGCCTCTGCTCTTCTTCTATATCTTCGATATTCTCTGCTTTCGTTTAGCCGCATCGCATCAGCGTGCGGAGCGTTACGCAAACCCGTCAGACGTCCAGGGACGCCGCCTGCACAATGATCATTGGGCGAGACACTTCGCACTTGGGCCCCTCGGCGGTGCGCGCCTCGCACATAACGTGTTCCTCGGCGGTTATCTCATGGCTGCCAGCCAACTC